TGTGGCCCGAAGTCCATGTGTTTGTGGCCCACGATGCAGTTTGGGCTTACGCAGTGCTCAACACACAGCTGGGAGCCAAAACAAAAACGTAGTCAATATAATGGTCATTGGATGATATGCGTTTTAGTAGTTAAATTCCTGGACAGTCATTGCTCATTAAAAGTGCTGTCAGATGGATGGAAATCAGGAAAATATTGCATTTTATTAATATCAGCAGAACTGACTAACAGGGCCTGTGTGTTGTGTAGTCTTGCCTTAATTTTTGTATTCATGCCCGTCAGTGTGAAAGAAACTATTTGCATATATTTGCATATATATTTGCATGTATATGCAACCACACTAAAGTTGTGGCCCTTGGCATGTACTGTGACTATCATTGTGGCCCCTGGAGCTTCCAAAGCTGAGTAGTCCTGCTGTCAAACGATAGGGACTGCTGGTCATTTACTGATGGGAGGAGGCTACAAGAAGAAAAAGACTCCAGTGAGGAGGAAAATGAAGCCAGGGACTATTGGTTTATTGGTTATTAATTAATGAAATCTGTTGCTAATATTAATTAATGAATATGGAATTATGGAATGTAAAATCTGACTCAGGACTAACTTATAGAAGCTAAAAGAGCAAATTGAGGCACATGACTTGTGGCCTGGCCTTCTGACATTGCCACTTTATTCACCATTGTTCAGAGTGATTATTATCATATATTTTCCTTTAACAAATAATTGAAAGTTGTTGCTGAATTTACTAGCAGTATCTTACTTTACATTTGTTGAAGGGAGCTATTTAAATTACATTAGCACTGATTCATTTGTTGGAAGTGAAGGATAATTACCCATTGCTTCCTCCTTTACATGTATTGGGGAAGGAAGCTCTGTGGCACATATCAGTTGTTGTCAAAATGATCCTATTATTCTTGTGATTGGGTGAGGAGGGTTTTTCTAGAGATTGTATAGCCACATTGTTTTTCAGAAAAGTATTACTCATGACACTCATTATAGAGATAATGTACTAAATGTCCTAACATTTAGACAGTGAGACATCTGAGAGTGGAATAGTATTTACTTCATACCAGGAGATAGCTATTTAATTACATACAGTAAAATGAGCTGTCTGGATATGATTTGCTAATTTCTAAGAGTTTCAAGGCCATAAGCCCATCTGTTGGTAGAATATCATTTAAAAAACAAAAGAATAATTAAACTTACATAAAGAAGACTGGCTAAAGAGATGCTCAAAATGTAAGCTTCTTTATTTAACAACAAAGTTTTTAAAAAAGAAGCAAGTGGCAAAAAGGCATCTTTTAAAATGTGGGAGTTAAATTCTAGTGTGAAAAGAGCATAAACTCTGGCAAATGAAGTGTAAAAATATAATTAGGAAGGCTGAAAAAGCTAGCCCAAGGTTGAAAAAGTAATAGCAAAGAAATTTTAAATACATGAGAAGCACGAAGCCTGCTAAACAACCGGTGGGGCCATGTTGACAAATGCAAAGTAATGCACATTGGAAAACATAATCCCAACTATACATATAAAGTGAGGGGGTCTAAATTGGTTGTTACCGCTGAAGAAAGAAATCTCAGCATCATTGTGGATAGTTCTCTGAAAACATCCACTCTGGGTGCATCTATACAGCACACTCACCTCGAAATAAGCTACACAATGTGCACTATGCAAATTGTGCATCTTATTTCAGTCTTATTTTGAAATAAAGTGCTATTCTTAAACGTCCCTTATCCCCCATTCAACGAGATTTACAGGGATGTCAGAATAGCGAGCCCATTATATTTTGATACAACGGGCTTGCTCTTAAGGCGCAGAATAGCTTTATTGTAGACGTAGCCTCAGTGTACAGTGGCAGTCAAAAAAGCAGACAATGTTGGGAATCATTAACAAAGACATAAATAATAAGACAGAAAATATCATATTGGTGCTACATAAATCCATGGTACACCGACATCTTCAATACTACATGCAGATGCCGTCACCCCACCTCCAAAAAGATAGCCTGGCATTGGAAAGAGTTCAGAAAAAGGCAACAAAAGTGATTAGGGGTATGGAGCAGCTTCTGTATGAAGATAAATTAGTAAGAATTTTCAGCAAAGAAATGAAATAACTAAGAGGGGGTTAAGATTGATGTCTATAAAATTCTGACTGGTACAGAGAAAGTAAACAAGGAAATGCTATTTACTCCTCATAACTCAAGAACTAGGGGACAATAAATTAACAGGCAGCAAGTTTAAAAGAAGCAAGAGGAAATAGTTATTCAAACAAAGCACAGATAACCTGTGGAACTCTTTGCCAGAGGATGTTATGAAGGCCAAGAATAAAACTAAGGTTCAAAAAAGAACTAGATTAAGTCCTGGAGGTTAGCTCCATAATTGGTTATTACCCAGAGATGGTGTCCCTAACCTCTGTTTGCCAGAAGCTGGGAATAAGTGACTTGGGATATGTCTACCCTACCCTCCTAGTTCGAACTAGGAGGGAAATGTAGGCATACCGCACTTGCAAATGAAGCCCGGGAAATTCAAATCCTGGGCTTCATTTGCAAGTGCAGTATGCCTACATTACCCTCCTAGTTCGAACTAGGAGGGAAATGTAGGCATACCGCACTTGCAAATGAAGCCCGGGAAATTCAAATCCTGGGCTTCATTTGCAAGTGCAGTATGCCTACATTACCCTCCTAGTTCGAACTAGGAGGGAAATGTAGGCATACCGCACTTGCAAATGAAGCCCGGGAAATTCAAATCCTGGGCTTCATTTGCAAGTGCAGTATGCCTACATTACCCTCCTAGTTCGAACTAGGAGGGAAATGTAGGCATACCGCACTTGCAAATGAAGCCCGGGAAATTCAAATCCTGGGCTTCATTTGCAAGTGCAGTATGCCTACATTACCCTCCTAGTTCGAACTAGGAGGGAAATGTAGGCATACCGCACTTGCAAATGAAGCCCGGGAAATTCAAATCCTGGGCTTCATTTGCAAGTGCAGTATGCCTACATTACCCTCCTAGTTCGAACTAGGAGGGTAGTGTAGACATACGCTTGGTGATTAGCAGTTCTGTTCATTACTTCTTGAGCATTGTCCACTGTTGGAAGGCAGGATACTGAGCTAGATGGACCTTTGGTCTGACCCACTATAGGCATTCTTATATTTTATTCTTCAGCTACCTAACTGACAAGTCTCAAAATGTAACTGTAAACTGAAAACTATCATCAAGAAGGGATTTTTTTCAACTAGTTCCCACTGGGATCTGTTCTACCCTTACTCTATCATTTTTGTAAATGACATGAAAGAAAACACAAAATCCACCACCAATAAAGTATGCATCTCACAAACAAATTAGGGAAGTGATAGATAATGAAGTGCACAGGTCATTTAGAGTGATCAGGCTCATCTTGTGAGCTGGATGCAAGCAAACAATATGGCTATGTCTATACTGGCGCGATCTTGCGCCATAGCTATGCAAACGAGGCTAAGCATGGAATATCACCGAGCCTCGTTTGCATATCTAATGAGCCGCCATTTTGCAGAAGAGGCTCTTGCGTCAGAAGGAGCTGTCTACACTGCCCCTTCTTGCACAAGAAAAACCCTCTTGCACAATGCTGCTATGCTGATTATTTTCGGGAATAGCGGCATTGTGCAAGAGGGTTTTTCTTTCACAAGAAGGGGCAGTGTAGACAGCTCCTTCTGGCTCAAGAGCCTCTTCTGCAAAAATGGCGGCTCATTAGATATGCAAATGCGGCTCAGCGATATTCCACACTTAGCCTCATTTGCATAGCTCTGGTGCAAGATCGCACCAGTGTAGACACAGCCCAGGTGTTTTAATGTGGCTAACTGCAAATGTATTCATCCATGAACAACGAACGTAGGTCATACTTGCAGGTTAGTGGAGTCCATCCTGGGAAGAAGAGCCTCAGAGAGATTTGTTGTGTGGTGGAGGAGTGTAGAATAATCAGCTGACCATATGCTCAAATGTGACATTGTGGCCAAAAAAGATAATTTGATAATAAGATGCATAAACAAGGGAATCTTTAGTAGAAGTAAAGAGGTTATTTTACCTCTGTGTTTGGCACTGGTCTGATGGCTGCTGAAATACTGTTTCCAGATTTGAGGCCCACAATTCAAGGAAGAAGTCGATACATGGGAGAGGGTTCAGAGATGAGTCACAAGAATGATTAGAAATAATGTCGTACAGTGATAGATTTGATAGATTTATCTTAACAAAGAGAGTAATAAACATTAAAGATACTATATAAGTATATTTAGTAATGGGCTCTTCTATCTAGAAGAGAAATGTTTAACATTATTCAATGGCTGAAATTTGAAACTAAACAAATTCAGACTGGACATAAAGCGTATATTTTTAACAGAGATGGTAACTAATCATTGGAACAACTTACTAAGAGATGTGGTGAATTCTCCACTGATGATTTTTAAACTGTGGATGTGGAAAGGGGGGCACAGTATTCACATGTATAATTTTAATTACCTGACCTTTTCCCTTGACTTCACTAGGACTACTCATCAGTTTTTATGCATGCTTAAATGCCTTGCTGAATTGAGGTCTAACTGCAGTGGATTTCACACAAATCATCTTGATGTATATAAAGTTTCTAATGTAGGACCTTTCCCCTACGTGTTTCTAGCAGATGTCATTTTTATTTAGCAGCGCATAGCTCTATAAAGTGGCTTTTTTGCTTATAACTATTGCTTGCTTTTTACCAGGTGATGAATATTCTTGGCTCCTGTTATCTTTATCCCCTATTTTTCCCTTCCTTATACCTTCGGGATGTGTTATAGCCTCACATTGTCATATTTCACATGCTAGCTATCTTCATTTCCAGTAGACAGTCAATATTGCTCCAAGGATTAAACTTTGTCATGTTAATCCAGATCCCAATTGTCATCCTGCTGTGGCAACCTAATAAGTGGGGACAAATGCTAATTTAGAGAATAAATGTGTGAATACATAAGTGTAAGAAAATGATATCCTTCTGTCTGATTTGCAGACCCCCGCCAGTGAGTGAAGGTGCACCCAAGGGAACTCTGATTGCTGTTGTAACTGCTGCTGCCTTGAATCAGACCATTATATATTCAATTGTTTCAGGAAATGAAGATGGTAAGTAAGAGTATCTCAGTGAAGTCACAGATTAATGTACAATATGCTAATTGAACTAAAACAATTTCAGAATGTGGCATATATAAATAAAACAGTTAGTGCTAAATCCTGGCTCCCCACCATGGCCAAGTAGCAGAAGCTGCTCTAGCCTCCACTACCCTACTTTCATAAATCATAGAGGGGAATTTGCGATAACATATTTTGTACTTGTTTTAGCTGATTGTAACAGAACTGTTTGCAAAAAGACTCCACATAACTTGAGTCAGTTCATACTAGCCTGCTGCAGCTTCACTCCTTGTTGTGGACCATTTTCTTGCCTGAGCTGAACCCATGCCTCTTCTTCTGACTTGTCAATGATCTTCAAACAGATAACTGCAGATGTTGAGTTAACTGCACGCTTATACCTTTTTTCTGTCCATACAGTGCCCTGGCCCTTCTAGAGTGACCAATAGGAATGTCTAGTCTGTAACTGATTGCTATCAACAGGTCTTTCAGCTGCCCTGGTGATACTGTCCTACTTACAGAGAAAACTGATTTGTTTTAATATACTGTAGATTTCAGTCATGACAGAACCCTACGTATTATGTGACGTGTTGTCTAACTCTATGTGGTGTGTTGGCTAAATCTGGTATTTAAAGAAAGAGGTAAACATGTAGTCTCAAGCTTACCTCATTCTCAGGCACTCACCATGCTTGATCTTAAAAACTGTAAACAAAACGACACTAAAGTTATTTGGGGGAAAACGGTATTAACCTTCTCTCAGATGCAGGAAGAGGTTATATATCTAAATAACTTTTGCAGCTTGCCCTAAAATTTGCTGTGCCAGTGCCTAATTCCAGTACCCAGATCAGCAGTTGATCATGGAAACAAAGAGCACTGTGGGGGCCAGGAACACTGGAGGCCTAAGGGTGGTGAAAGTTTTAGATTCCTCAACCTCTGAACTAGGACACAGGAATGACCAAGGTCTTTACAAGATTGGAAATACTTAGTCTTAAAGGTTTAATGAAATATCCTATCATCATTTACAGTCTTTAGAAAGTGACTAGTTTTATGTTTGCTGCATTACAGATGTTTTCGCCATCAATAACAGAACAGGTGTTATCTTCATTAAAAAGCCTCTTGACTACGAAAGTGTGAAAAGCTATAAACTTCGGGTACAAGCAGACTCCCTACAAGTGGTTCGATCTAATCTACGTGTCCCTTCCAAAAGTAAGTTATATTTCATGGATTTTCAAAAATACAAACATATTTTTTTAAAAGTTGAGAATAAATAATGTTACTATGTAGCTTATTTTATAGGGTACTGAGAATCATTCACTCTCACCAGTTATATAATAAATTTGTGTTGCTAGTTACTATGTAGCTTATTTTATAAGGTATTGAGAATCATTCACTCTAACCAGTTATATAATAAATTTGTGTTGCTGTACTTTCATTCTGTATGTAGATAGTGATACCAAATAAATTGTAAAATATGCATTGATGCCTACCTAACAGTGTCTGCTCCTAAGAATGGGTTCACGGAAGACATAATACATTATATGTCCATTATTTACATTTTTAACCTCATTATACACAGGAAAACAGGCCTCCAAGAGTTGAATTAATATTCTGTATAATTACAGTTTCTTCTTTAAATTGAAACAAAACCCATCAAGACCTCACTGACACAAAGTTTAAGAATATTTTTTCAAATGAAATATACAGTCCAAATACACACAGTTCACCATTTCTGCATTTCTTGTGTGCAGGGTTCTAAAGTTCTCTAATGCCACTTGTAAATTTATCTCTAGAGGCGTGTCTAAACTACATGGCTCCGTCGATGGAACCATGTAAATTAGGCAGGATGGCAAAGGGAAATGAAGCGGCGATTTAAATAATCGCCGCTTCATTTAAATCAAAATTGCTGCCGCGCTGAGCCGATCAGCTGATTGTCGGCACAGCGTGGCAGTCGAGATGGGGATCTACCGACCCCAGAACCCTTCATCAGCAGATCCTGTAAGCCTCACTAGGCTTTGCACTTTTTATGAAGAGAGAGGGAATGTACTATGTACAGGATTTGGTTTTCTTTATGGCTGAAAAAAGCTTTTGCTGGTGATTGAGATGTTCTTTTTTCTTTCATATCACTTTCTGAACATATCAAAATGAAGATTTAAAGATGTATGCCAGGGACAAGAGCATGAGGGAGAGGATGAGTCCCCACCTGGAATGAGGGAGGAGTCAGGGACAAGAGAATTGTGGGGGGAGGATTGATCTCCAGCTGAAGCAAGGCATGGGTGGGGGTAAGAGCACAGTGGGGTAGAGGCAGAATCAGTCTCTGGAATGAGAGAGGGTCTGGGGGAGGTAAGCACAGTAGTGCTGGGGAGAGAGCAAATGGGATTTCCTCCACCCATCCAGAGATGATATCTATCTTTGTCACTGGTCCTAGCCAGTTCTTTGTCTGAGCTGCCCTTCCACAAAAAAGCATAGTAACAAAGGAGTCGCTATTATGCCTCTTTGGTCCCCCTCTAGTAGGAAGATCTTCATACAGCTTGGTCAGCCAGTGAAGCAGTTCAAACTAGCCATAATATAGAGACAGAATCAAGCCTTCCATATTTTTAGGATCAATATTGACACTTGAGCTGAAGAATCATAACATCTTTTTTTTCGCTACACTAAAGTGGTAGTCTTAAAAGAAATGTTGCTAAGTGTTATAGGTTATCTTCAAGATATGAACAAACTTATTTAAATGATTATACGTTGTTCTGTGTTTTAAGTTTAATAAAAGGTAATTTGTTAAATTTTATATTCATATTATAAAAATAGACATTAAATATATTTCAATGTAGAAGACTGTATAAATCTTAATCTATTTAAAGTGCTAGATGGTAAGGGGTCACCATTTTAAAAGGGCTTGTGAAATATAACAAAGGCTATACCATTGGGTAATAACCTTTTAAATAAGAATACACCGGTGAGACAAGATGAGTGTTTTATTGGACCTACTTTCGTTGGTGAGGGAGAGACAAGTTTTCGAGCTTATACAGCACTCTCCTTCAGGTTTGAGAAACTAAGTCAGAGCTCCTTATCAGAAGCTCGCTCCCCATGAACCAGGACACACCAACTCAAAGCAGCACCAGACTCTGCCAGAACAATCAGTGGAAAAACCTGCAGACATATCTCCACTGCTACAATGATTAACACAGTCAAACTGTAGGTCCATCAATGGCTATTAGCCACAGTGGGCAGGAATGATGCCCCTAGTCTCTGATTGGGAATAGGTGACAGGGGACAGATCATTTGCTGATTAACTGTTCTGTTCCTTCCCTCTGGGGCACTTGGCATTGGCCACTGTTGGAAGACTGGATACTGAGCTAGATTGAACTTTGGTCTGACCTAGTATGGCTGTTCTTATGTTCTAATACACCTTTCAAAATCCATGGATCCTACACATGCCTATTACAACATGCTCTGTACCTCATCCAGCACACTAAAAAGGCCCAATCACTGCTATCTGGGTGAAATCAGACAATCACTAAGCTCTCTCACAAACTCACCCAGGAAAATGATAAAGGATAAAACCATCACATCCCCTATGGGTAAAACCCTTTTTTAACAAAGTGATCACTCTTTGCTAGGCATTAAAAATCATGGATTGACTAGACACACTGGTTTTATGGCTTATTACAACAATCTGTAATCCCCACTGACAACCCCCTCCCTGGATGCTTCCTGTTGCCCTTCCTTTTTTCCCTGTGTCTGAAGAGGTGGCACTTAACATTGAATGGTACCTTGAAATATATGTGAAATATGCTAAACAGTCTGTTCAAATCTTAGATTTAGCTGTAATTAAACACTGAGTTAGTTTCCCAGACTTGGAAAAAAGCTCTGTGTAAACTTGAAAGCTTCATCTCCCACCAACAGATGTTAATCCAATAAAAGATATTACATCATGCACCTTGTCATTCTAAGATCCTGGGACCAACACAGCTAGTGCAGCAGTACATAAAACACATTGATGGATAATTAAGATAAACTTTAAGCCTGAGCTGAAGTAAACCCTGTTATTGATTTCATTTTATATATTTGCTTCAGGCTCTATCCTTGTAATATTTGTCATTTTGAAGGGTGCTCTTATGCCAGAAAGGATGCCAAAGATTAATGAGACCAAACTTGTTTCTATTTACAATTAACATGGTTGCAAATAACACTAATGTACTGTTGTGTAAGAAAGTTTCTGTCACATTAATAACACTTGGATCTGAGGCTCTTTGTATCACTCTCTGCAAGTTGTAAAGTTGTTGTGGGTTTTTTTTAAGTTTGATTATTTAACCTCCTCTATTCCGCTCCAAAAAACAACAAACAAACAAAAACAACAACAAAACATTAAAAAAGCCCATCACCTTGAAGTTGGATGGAAGTTTAATGTAGTGTTCTAGGAACTTTGCAAAAAGAGAGAAAACCATTTTCATTTAAACTGATTTGTAATCCTGGTGCTGAGCATCTCAGTCCTTCGTTGCCTGGGTGGTGTGGGGGCTGGTGGGTCCCTCAGAAGCTGCAGCCAAAATCAGAGCCTCAGGCACTGGGCTAGGCCCACTCCCAGCATGCTGCTGGATTTCTTGCTGCTGCTTCAGGCTCTGTTGTCCCTTGTACATGGGTTTTCGTTCCCCTTCTCCTTGTTGCATTCCTACTTTAGATTGTTCCCGCAACTATTGTCACTAGTTGATTCTTAAGTTAGAACCTCCTCAATGGTGAAAGGAGTTTCGAGGTGTATTTGATCTGATTTTAAAGAAAAATGAATTTAATAATCTGAAATACTGTACAAATGAAGTACAGAGACAATTTGGTAATTACGTGTAACAATTCCTGCTTATACTGACAGAGCATTATCAAACTTATCTCATAGTAGACAGAAAAACCCAGGGATCTTTTGCCACCAGTTTATTATAAGCTGGCAATAAGATTTTTAAAGCTAAAGTCCATCAGACTCAATCAACATTGTACTGCTGATTTTTCTTGGTATTTGTGAAATTTTAACTCAGTCTTCAGAAAATAGATCTTTAATAAACCTGAAAGCTCTGAGGGTATGTCTACACTAGCCCCCTAGTTTGAACTAGGGAGGCTAATGCAGGCATTCGAAGTTGCAAACGAAGCCTGGGATTTAAATATCCGGGCTTTATTTTCATCTTTCCGTCCAGGTGCCATTTTTAAATCCCCCTAGTCCAAACTAACTGCCCATGGCTACATGCGACAGTCAAACGTTAACTCGAACTAAGTCCTTAGTTCGAGTTAACTGTTACACCTCATTCCACAAGAGGGATTTAAAAATGGCGCCCAGATGGGAGATGGAAATAAAGCCCAGGATATTTAAATCCCGAGCTTCATTTGCAACTTCGAATGCCTATGTTAGCCTCCCTAGTTCAAACTAGGGGGGTAGTGTAGACATACCCTGAGTTCCTTAAAGTAATTTAAGGGTTTTTTCCCCATAATATTAATAGATTGTGTGATTTTTTTCATGTCTTTATAATTTAACCTTTAACTAGAGGGCTGCGCCCTCTGTTCACTATGCTCTCCAACCCACCTCCCACGGGGGTTGGCAACCCTAGCTCTCCTCCCAGCCACCGGGGAGGAGTGGGTTGCAACTGCGTCAGCCCAGGTCCCTTCTCCCTCCCCACTGCCCCCAGCCATGCCAGGCCAGGCCCCTTCTCCCTCCCATCCCCTTGTGTGAGCCTGAGACCCTTCTCCATTCCGTTGCCCCTCCACCCCCAGCCATACCAGCCCAGGCATCTTCTCCCTCCCCACCAACTCCCTGCCCCCGAACCCAAGCTGTGCCAACCCAGGCCCCTTCTCCCTCCCCACCCCCCTGTACCAGCCCAGGTTCCTTTTCTTTCCCTCCAACTCCCCATCTGTGCCAGCCTGGACCCTCTTTCCACCTCATCTGCCCCCCCCCCCATGCCAGCCTTGGTCCCTTTCTCCTTCCGTGACCCCGCTGCACTAGCCTGGACCCTTCTGCCCTCCCCTTCACCCCAGCCATGCCAGGACAGGCCCTTTCTCCCTCTCTGCCCCCAGACGAGGCTGCACCAGGCCCAGCTCTGCAGCTGGGAAAGGCTGCGACACAACAGGCCAGGCGAGGCCTGGCTCTTCCCCCAGTGACAAGGGAAGGCCAAGGCCACAGTGTCCAAGCCCAGTTCTCCACATGGCTGCCAGAGAGGGCCAAGCTCGCAATGGCT